TACTTGTCATGGCTCTCTCACATTATGCAGAGATTATGTGAGATTATTTTTTAAACTCTAGATTTTCATACGAAGCATAGCAAGAAAGACCAAATGCTTTTACTTTTGGTAAGGACCAAAAGCAAAAAAGAAATAAATGGGAAGTGGCAGATTTTGCTGGACTCCAATCCAAGCCCAAGGCTCTTGGGTGGGATCAGGATCTGAACAAGCATTTTTTTAAAAAAATACTAACCCTGGGGGAGGGGTTGCCCAAAGACACTGTACTCCAGGGCATTAGGTGAACAATTATTAAGTAGAAATGCTCACTGATTTTAGAGGCTTATCCCTTGGCCCTGCCGGGGTATTTTTGGGCTGCACAATTTGTGGACAGCCTCTGGGAATGGCAGTTTATAGACCGGTCAGAGATTGGTGATCGCCAGGAAGGAGGGAAGAAGGGGAGGGAGGGAAGGAAGGAGAGGTTGCTGGGGTGGCAGGAGGGCTCTGTGGGGTCCTCAAGCTTCTCAGAGCAGTGTCCCTCAAGCAAAGATTTGGCCTGGGATTCTCCTGACTCGAGGTAGGGTGATGCCTAGATCTACCCCAAACCAAAAGTCTAGGGTGCATATATATTTTGATCCTCCCATTATCCCCATCTGCCTTTGTTCTTCATGAGCCACCCCTTTCTCTAGTGCCATACAGAAAATAAAGCTTCCTACCTGGTTTTCTGCAGTGATGCTCCATCTGTCTCGGTGTAGGCTTTGGCAGTGGGGAATAACTTACAGTTTCCTGAACAAGCCACAGGGCTCTCACCTTAGGTCCTTACATAGGATCCCAGCAACTTGGTGGCTGAAGCCCTTCTTGAACCCACCAATCTCACAAACTCCTCAGGCCCCATTTCCCCCACTGAGAAGTGATAAGTGTGTTGGGAAACATTTTGAAGAGACTGTAATTCCTATGTAAATTATACAGAGACAGACAACAAGGTCGAGAAGGGGCTACTATGTGCTATGATATTACATTCCCTTCATGAGGATTAGTAAAGGCTTTGAGAAGTCCTACAGTTTTAAAAAAAGCCTGTTTAACCCACTATTTCCCTAAGTTATTAACCAAGGAACCATGCATAACCGCTGCATAAATTCAGTGTGATACACTTTAGAAGATACTGATTTAAATACTGATGGGAAGGAAAGGAGAGGGCACTTGTAGGTTTCTGTGTGCTACACCGTCATGTAGTTGTAATGCCGTGGTTGAAGCAATAGTTCCAGGCTGACCAAAGAAGGGAAATGTCTACCCTCTGGGTCAAATCCTTACCTTTGGAGTTTAAAGAGGTCATTTTATCAGATCACTCCCAGTAAACTAGCATAGGAATTGATTTATTCTAACTAAAACCACTTGAGATGCATCTATAAACCAGAACGCCAGTGTGGCAAAATGCTGAGTGACCAGGAACGTAAGCTCTGCAGTCAAATAGATCCTGCTGAAATCCCAGCTCTCTGACTTACTACTTATGTGACCTTATCTGATTATGAATAGTTCTCTCATGAATAAAATATGGATAATAACACTGTCTCTCTCCTGAATTAATCCATATAAAGCACTTTGTACAGGAAGCTTTTATTTGAGCAGAGAATCAGAATTTGAAGTTACTGTGTTTCATGGCAAATATTTCTAGGCTGTAAGAGTATCCGGAGAGATAGCCCTGTTCTGCTTTAGAATGACTATTAAGACCATGGGGCTGAGAGCAAACAGTGACTATAAGTGAGGTGGATAATTTTTTTCTAAAAATGCTTTCAGAAGAGGAAAACTATGGTGTCCACTGGGCTTCACAAACTTCGCTGCAGGGATGATGAGTCAAGATCGGGGTCATAGGACTACTAGGTCTTTAATCCATCGTGGAGTAGCCCATGTTGCAGAGAGGAAGGCCTTGGGTGACCTACGGCTGAGCACTGGGACAACGTGGCATGTGAAGAGGAGAGAGGAGATAATAAAGAGAGCTCAGCAAGGACAAGAGACAGTGAGAAATATCTGTAATAGCTGCAAAAGTATGGAACTTAGGGGACAGAAAATTCTGTCCCAAGATTTCTAAAATGTTTCTTTGTGGTGCAGGATATAAAATCCCTGAGTAATACTGCTTTACAGAAACCTACATGAAAGGTCTGTATTATGTTTCAAGGTTTCCTGCATTGTGTTTGTGTTTCCTTTGAGTGTGGTGTCATGCTTATACTGAGACACATGGGGCCACTAGATTTATTAGGGTTACACTGATTCTTTTTACACTGGTTCTTTTTCTTCTTTTATTTAATTTTTTAGGTCTCCTTTGTTGCTGTTTCTCACCAGTCACTAGACTTGTCATTCATTGTACTAGAACATGATTTATATCTCAGGATATATTTCAGTTCTTAAAATATTACCTTACATTATTTACATATCATTACATTATCTCTTCTCTTACATATTAAGTAAATGGCTTTTTCATAAGATTTGGGAGTTACTTTTATGTCCTCTGCAGAGAGCTGCAGTTTGAGATCACATCTTAGAGTTGGTTATTTCTGAGGAGAGTACCTATTTGTGGCTAACTCCACTATGTATAAATTCTCAGTGAATCTATCTAGATACATCATAAATATCTAAAAACTACAGTCTGCTCCTTATCATCAGGCCACATTCTGACTCACTTTTCAGGAAATTAGTTACTTTCTAAACTTTTCAGCAAGTTGGAGAGTGAGGCCACATAGGCTGGATTTGAGCATCTGCCTGATTTTTATATTTTTAAAAATATGAGCTTAGAAAGAAGCAAATATAATCTGGTAGTCTCTGCTTTTTTGCTGCAGTAGATTTTGGGTAGTTTGGTCCAAAAGATGGATTAAAATGTGTAGAATCAATTCCTTGCTTAATCACCTGCCTTTCAGAATGAAAGAGAAGTGATCATTTGGACACTATGGATCTTTTAGGGAGACGAAACAGAAAGTTTTGCCTGGAACATGTTTAAGATAAGTCTAGACTCGCATCACTGGAGAGCAATGTTGTTCAAACTTTAAAGCTTTGTCTTAACAATACTTTTAGATTGTCACTGAAAGCATTCCTCCCTAAAGGGGAACAACTCAATTAAATAGCAAATGCCATCCAGAACTGTCCCTGGGCTATCCTTCAAAAGCGGTTGGGTTGCTTAGGAGGGGATAAGTTGAGGGGAGAACATCAGACCATCAACAGAGATGCTGGATCAAAGAACCAGAATTCCCCAGGATGGACCTGGTTTCCATTTTTCTGTGTTTTTGTTAATTTGGACAGACCTTGTGGCCTGGTTTTTCGATCAGAAGATATGGTGGCCATACTTATAGAGGAAGGGGCCAGGCTCTGGGGTCTACCCTGCAGAGAAGGCACCTACTAAAGTGGATGGTAGCGAGGAATTGGAGTGTAAAGGTGAAGGGGAGAACTATTTGTTTGTTTTTAAGGATAAAGGAAACCAAACATTTGGTTAGGCAAATAAGTCAGTGGGGAAAAGGGATTGAAGGTAGAGACAACCACTGATGCAAGTTCTGGAGGAAACAAGAGTGGATTTAATCATTAACCTAGGTGGGCCCTGGAGAGGAGGAGGTACATGCCATTCGGAGAGGGACAAGGTGGGAGAAATACAAGGCATTTGAATTGAGGGAGTTCCTAGCACATGGCCTTAATTGTTTATAAGTTAAAAAACAATGGAACAACTGTGAGGAAAGTAAAAGTGGATTTGGAAGTGTGAGAAGAATAGGAAACATACACTGCCAAGGAAAAGAGGACTGGTGAGTTGTTTGGGGAAAAATAAATAACTTCATGTTTAAAGCCACCCTGAGGGCCTAGCTGAAGTTAGATAACAGGAATTAGCAATAGCCTCATCAGTTGGTCGTATGATTGTTGGTGTCACCCTATAGTGGCCCAGAAGCTGAGGAAATGAATGGAGGTTGAGTTTGCCTAGGTTGAGGACTGGGAAGTGCATGTGGTGGGAATCAGGGTGACTTGTGAGGGAATCTTTAGCTGGTGGGTACCATGGTAAAGTGCGGATCATGGCACCAGACCAGTGTCAAGGAACTAGAAGTTTGCTGAGGACAGAGGAGATGAAAATTCCAAAATTTTCTGCAGTGGGGGTTAAAAAAAGTCATGGAATGTAGACATATGAATGTTAAGGAAGGCATCCTTATGAATTTTGTTGTTGTCCAGAGTCCAGGCTAGATGACAAGTGTCTCAAAGGGAGATGATGAGTTACAGGCAGGAAGTTGGGAGGCAGCTTGGGAGGGTGTCAAAATAAAGAGAAGGCGTGTATGGCATCTCTAATTAAGGGGATCATTTTGAGCCCAGGAGTCCCTCCCTTTGGTACTTCTATCTCATGCCTCTGCCACCTTCTCTCCTACATCCCTCTGCCAACTTCTTCCTACCATCTGTGGACCAGGGAGTAAGATTTATTAACATCTCCTTATTACCTGTTCCTTTCTTACTTTTATGGATAGCCCTGTTCTTGCAACCCTCCCCCCCAAATATATCTCAGTGAAATCAAAGTCTTTGAAGGTGGAGGGTTGGCAGAGCATAGCATGACATTTTGAAACCTCATGTGCAGAGGGTCCCTGGGTCCCCAGGTCCCTGCATGTGTGCATGCTTCCCCACCCCACAGCCTTCTGTCCTCTTCCCTTTCAGTTGGCTATGCCCACACCCACCCTCATCTCTTTTCACTCTGATGGTTAGCAAAGGAGGATAAGGAAGCTCAAGGTACTCTACGAAGTGTCATAGTGAACTGAGTGGGCAAGGACATGCTAGATTAATGCTGTTTCTGAAAATGAAAAATCAAGCTCCTCCCCCTGCCCCACCTCACTGGGGACAGGAAGACAGGACAGCTATCAGAAAGGTCTTCATATCAAGAAAGATAGTATAAAACTGTTAACCAAGTAAAGGATTTGGTTAAGGAACCTACAAGATTTTGAATGGCTCTTGAGTAAATATCTGTTGTAGGAGATACCAACCTTGGTGTCACCATGACTTTTGTTGCTTCATTTCAGAACGCCAACCAGGCACCTCTATGGCCAATTCCAACACCCTCCCTTCAAGTTCAGCTGGGATCAGCAAAGAATTGATTGACCTGCAGCCCCTCATCCAGTTCCCAGAGGAAGTTGCCAGCATCCTGACGGAGCAGGAGCAGAATATTTACCGGAGGGTCCTGCCAGTGGACTATCTTTGCTTCTTAACCCAGAACTTGGGCATTCCGGAATGCCAGAGGTCCCTGCCCTGCCTCAAAGCATCCATCTCAGCATCAATTCTTACTGCTCAGAATGGAGAGCACAATGCCCTTGAAGATCTTGTGATGAGATTTAACGAGGTAAGAAACCACTTTTGGATGTCTTGGTATTTGAATGGCCAGTAAGTGATTTTTAGTCATATTCCTCCTTTTAGGTGTGTCTGTTGCCAATATCTCACCTGCCTTTCTGTCTTGCCACTTCTGTGATGACTCCTTTTCTTTCCAGGCAATGAGTCAGATGCCACCTTGTCATCCCCCCTCATTGTACCCCAACCTGCCCTTAAGCCTAATTGATCTTATTTCTACTCCATATCATCACCAAGTCCACCAATCCTTCTCCCTTTGGACAACCAAATTTTCAATCCCCCAGTCTAACTCCCCAGCCCACACCCTTGTTCCCAGAGGTGCTTTTAACACTGGATGTCTCAGTTTTAAGTTTTGACAACAGGATCCCTGGCCCCATTCGTCTAGCCCACCCATCTGGCAGCTCACTTTGCAGCCTCTGTAGCTTGCCCGTCAGGACCCTGATGGTGGTTGTGAATGTTCATGACCATGATAAGGTCCAGTGAATGCAGAAAGTGTTCGAGGCTGGGCTCAAGCAGTTCTGTCTGGGCATGCCCTGAGCAGCATTCCTCAAAGAGAAATCCTTATCCATAGGAATAGCTGGTATCCACCAGCACTGTTGTGCTAACCATTTAGCATGTACCGCCTATCTGCTCCTTGCAAAAACCTTGGGAGACAGATATTGTCATTAGCCCTGTCTTACCAATGAGAAACGGGGGTACACAGAGATGAAGTCATTTGCCCAAGGTTGCGTAAGTGGTAGGTAGCAATTGTGAGATTCTAACTCACACAGGCCCCAAAGTGGGTTTTGAACCACTACTGTATTTTGCATTTCACCTGCAACAGGATTGTGTTGGAGGGTGGAGTGGGGTGCCTACTAAAACCAAAGGTTCCTAGTCCTACCCCAAACCAAGTAAGACAGAATCTCTGGGAGTCCACGTGAGAGCTTGTAAACCTCACTGCCCCAAAGTTGTTTTGTAAAATAAATCTCCTGATGTTCTTGATTTTTCTTACTGATAAAAACGGAATGGAAAATGAAAGTTCCAGTAACTTATGTGATTTTACCCTATTTCATGAATTACTTTAAACATCCAGATCTACTTAACTCTCACATCATTAGGCCCCTATTCTTGTCTTTTTTCTTTTTTTAATTTAACCTGAACTTAAAAGTGAATTACCAGAACTTGTAAAATCTAATTTTAAATTAAACTTGGATTTTTTCCATTCACTGCCACAACCTTGGGAATCAAAGATGCATCAGTGATTTCACTAATTCAGAGTTAGTGATGATGTGACCTACAGCTGGGTTGAGGCCTGGTTTGGACTATCTCTGAAAATAGTTTAGCTAAGCAACTTGAGAACATAAACAAAATTTCTGGGAAAACACTTAAACTACTTAGGAGAACAGTCTGTTTTCAAGTATTCTCGAGCATCTATTTTCATACAAATTATGGGTATACCAATTAAAAATCAGTCTTATATAGTCATTCCAGGCAGGTCCTAAATGATCTGCACTGGGCAATACTGGGATAGCTAAATTCTAGTTGCTTTATATACTTTAAGGCAGAAAAGTTGCATCATATTAAAAGAGAATTATTAAATTCACATTTTCACCTATTTAAAATGGCCTTGCCTCCAAACTAGCATGGATTTACAAATTGTAAAGAAAGGTAAGGAAAGGAGCTTGCATTTATTTAATAGGTGCTTTGGACTGGATATTTTCACATTTTAAAATTCCATTTAATCCTTATGACAGTTGTCATTATCCCTGTCTTACAGATGAAGAAAGTGAAGCTTAGACAACAAAATGAATAATTATAGTGTTGGATTATGACCCATAGAGTAAAATAAACATTTTTTTAGTCCATACTGATATAAATAAATCAATGTGGTGGGGTAAGGGGGAAGTACAGCTCTTACTTACAGAAGAATTCCAATTAATAAATGTAGAAGAAATGAGGGAACTAGAAAATCATCATTAGAATATCACAGTAATAATTGTTGCAGGCAAGAACCACTGATAATTTCTAAAATTATTGGGCAAAATAAGTACGATGAGAAATAGCATATTTGCATAGTTTCAAAGCATCTCACCACAAGATAGTTGTTAATTATAAAGGGAAAATAGAACAATGGAGAAACCCAGTAGACACTGCCTTAACCAAGCGATCAGGGTTAACAAGACGTATCAAAGTGTACCTCCTCATATGATACCCTGAGAAGAGCATGACTTCATCTCTAGGGTATTCTTGCCAAAAATGCACAACCTAAATCTAATAATGGAAAAAAAAATCAGGCGACCCCAAATTGAAGGACATTCTCCTCTTTGAAAGTGTCAAGGTCATGAAAGATAAGAAAAAACTGAGGAATTGTCAAAGACTGGAGGAGACAAGGAGACATGACGACTAAATGCAGGGCAGGATCCTGTTGAATCCTAGACTAGAAAAAAGACATTGATGGAAAAACTGGGGAAACTCCAATAAGGTTTGTAGTTCAGTTAGTATTACTGTATTGATGTTGATTTCCTGGTTTTGACAATTGTACTCTGATTATGAAAGATGTTACCATTAGGGAAAGCTGGGTGAAGGGTATACGGGAACTTTTTGTACTATTTTTGGCAACTTTTCTGTAAATCTAAAATTACTTCAAAATGTAAAGTTAAAAAAAAAAAGCAATGAGCTTAGAGAGGTTGAGTCATTTATCCATAGTCACAGAGTAGCTAAGTAGATATCAGAATCCAGATCTATCTGTGTTCAAAGTCTATCTCTTCTCACCCAACTGCCTCTCTACTTATTAAATTATCAAGTTCAAGTTTGGAGTAAAACCAGAATTGCAAATTTAGAATTTAATTAGCCTTGGGTCTCCTTTCCTTCTTCCCTCTGTCTGTCTCTACTTTTCTAAATCTTCTGCGCATCTATGCTTTTTCTACTCCTCTTTCTGTTTCTATTTTTACTTAGTTTCCTGTTATCCATACTTCTGCCTTCAATCCCTCATTCTTTCAGTCATCCACTCCAGACATAGTCATTGAGCGCCTATTATGCTCTAGCCTTCTTTTTTCCACTAGTGCCAAACATATTTTTAAAAACTAAGAAATGAGCAATATATGATGAAAGTTGACAACATTAGTAGCCCACACTTTGGTTCCGTAAAAATTGGATACACAAAATAAATGCACTTTTCTCAGTGGAAGGAGGATGTATATTCCTTGGAACAGTACAGGATCTCAAAGACTGAGAAAGAGAACGTTGGGTCCATTGCAGTAGTGCAAATCACTTAAGGGAGATTGAATGCATTTATTCGTGCATTCAGTCACTCAGTTAACATTTATTCCGCACTTCTTAGAAGCAGGGCACTGTGGTGGGTATGTACTAAGGAAAGTAAATAACAGCCTGCAGCTGCCAGAAGCTATCAGGCATGGACTCAAATAACTACCAAAAAGGCAGAAAGTAAGTGCAGGGTGATTGGCACCGACAGTGTGGGCTACAGCGTCCAGGTGGGTGAGCAGAGCTTATTCTGCTGAGCTCTGGAGTTGGGGACTGGGCTTTGAGGGATGAAAGGGACAGAAGGGGACGTTCGCAGGGAGGAAAAGACAGTCCAGACAAGAGAACAATCAAACAGTTTTTGTCATGAGCAACACTCATGGTTTTAGGAGGCAGCTTGCTTCTGATTGCCAGCAGAACATGCTTATGAGCTAGAAGTTTCCATATTCTAACAGCTCTCTGCACAATGACTTAACTGTAGTGTGGGGAAAGGGAAGAAAATTCCTGATGCCTTTCAGGCAATGATGCATAATGTTTCTGCTTAGGAAAGTATGGTTAAAATGCAATGCAAAGTATGACCATGACATAACTGAAAAGGTTCAGCTTACATTAAAGAAGGCCAGGAGATAAATCATTTAAAATCAGTTTTGATTGTGGCTTAGAGGCAATGTTTCTCCCCATTCCTCCTTCTCCAGCCCTACTAGGCTGTGGTGTGAACTAGAGAAGCTTCTTAAAGGTAGTTTCTCTTTATCCTTGAAAAAAAACCCAGCAGCGTGTGCAAGGGGTCAGTCCTCAAGCAGGTGGTAGTCAGGATCTGCACTGGGGATAGGCTTCCTTTGGTTTGAGAGACGGATCTTCCTGACCCCTCTTAATCTGGACCTCTCTCTAGGCATATTCTTGACCTAAAGCAGCTCCAAACAGCCAGTGTTTTCTCTCTCTCCTTTCAGGGTGAGCAGCCTCGCTGCTTGGCCACCCACGAAGTCTCTTGTTTTGACATTCAGAAATGATATTCTTTTTTCCCCTCCTTTTTCTTCCTCCTTATACCTCTAGCCCACATTCCTTTTGATCTTACTTTTTTAAATGCCTCTTAGAATAAATTCCCAAACCATTTATCATTTCTAGGAGAGACGAAAGGCATTTACTATAGATCATTTTACCAAAGAGATTATGCAGTTTAGCGCACGCAGCAGCAAAGAAATGAGAGGCAGATAGAGGTTGAGGTGCAAGCACCGTGGTGGAACATGGAGTGAGTGGGAAGATTCTGGAATCACAGTTCACAGTCACTGGCTCTCAGACCTCCTGCCTCCTCAGTAAGGCCTCTGCTCTCGTCGTGATGTTCACCCAGGGATGATCTTTGGGGTTGGAACTCTTCGTGGTCTGCATTCACAGCTGGTCCTCAGGGTCTATCACCCAAGTCAACTTGTGACTCTATAACCTGTCATTGCCCACACCACTGCCAGGTGCTCTTTTGTTTAACAGACATTTGATATCTCTGGCTGGAAGTGATTTTCAAGGGGCAATAGCAGGTTCACTTTTTTCTGTGTCCTCAGAGGGCAATTTTTACTTGTCAGGTGGTTCTTGGCAAGACCATTCATCTGGCTTTTCTTTGGGACCAGGTGGTCCAAGGGCAGGTCAGGAGCCTGGATTGAGGCCCACAGTTACACTGGGACCCCAGCAGCCTCCGCAGGGCTTCCACCTGGCTACTTGCCCCAGGTGTCTTTTCCCCAACCCCCTCTGCATGGTCAATCTGAGCATTCA